CTCAAAAAAAAAAAAAAAAGCTTTTCAGCTGGCGAAGTTACAGGTAATAAAGCCTAAATAAAATATGAATAGACACCATCAAACATGCTAGTGATTTTGAGATAAATATTTCCTATGGAGGTAAGGTGTTTTTAACCTTCATATCCCAAAACCCAAAAGGATTTCAATGAAGTATTATAATCACAATATGTTAGGAAAATTTTGTTTTATGTAGTCATTTATTATGTAGAAACTGAGATAATAATGTGACATTTCTCATTTTATTGCGTAACTATAGATACAGACCAATTCCAGAAGATGTTCTACTTAGAGCTTTCGAGGTAAGCTCCAGATTATTAATATATATAATTTATTTATACTAAAAATTCATCACATAGAATTTATTCATCAAACAAAAATATCTCTCTTCCCTCTAGGTTTTAGATCCAGCTAAACATGGGTTTCTTACCAAGGATGAACTGATCAAGTACATGACTGAAGAAGGTAAAAGTGACTTATCACTTTTAACAGTGATTTATGTAAAGGATTGTTAATTTTAAAAAGCAATTATGCAAAAGTTATAGTGGATACCTTAAATCAATCATTCTGGTTAAAAATAGTTATTTACTGTTCCTATTATTTTGGTTTGGGGGTAGTTTCTGTTTTGTGGGGATTAAGAAGACAAACGGTAGGGTAAGAAGAGATGGATTGTTGTCCTACAGGATTTTGTAAAGTGTAATAATGATTTCTGTTAATTACAGTCATTCCATTCACTTAGAATATTTCCAGATAAAAAGGTATGCTACCTGGAAAACATGAACTATGAGGAGACTTCATAAAGTTTGTGGAAAAATGGAATTAAAATAGGAGCTTACTTTGGTGCAAAAAAAGAATGGAAATTCATGCATAGTATTTTGATCAAAGATTCGAATGTGGAGCTATACAAAAATTTCTTTAAATTTTTTTTTTTTTTTTTTGCTAGAGGGCACTTGTGCTGCCAGAGAGAAAAACAAGAAAAATACCCCCCTCCTTGTCCTGTGGTAATGATTACTCTGCAAATTCTTTTTTTCCCACACCTCTCCCTCCTTTCAGGATTTTGGGCATGCATGCACATTCACCCAACATGTTTCTCAAGACTCCAATTCTGGGGGCCGGCAGGTTGTGTGGTGGTTAAGGGTGCTGGACTCCCACTTGAACTGGCCATGGTTCAAGTCGTGGACCTTGTGGCTTGCTTTCTCACTTTCTCCCTCTCTCTCTCTCTCTTGCTCTTGCTCTTGCTCTGTCCCTCTCTGGTCAAATTAAAAACAAATAAACAAAGTTAAATAAAATAATTCGTAAAGAAAAAAAAGACTCCAGGTCTGGGACTCAAACCATGTGGGTCCTGTGGGATCTGTGGGATCTGGCTACTTTAACCCCTATGCCACTAAAAAAATTCCTTTTTAAAAAAGCTTTTCAGCTGGTGAAGTTACAGATAATATAGCCTAAATAAAATATGAATTCACATACAAAATTTCACTTTTATTTGATGGCACCATATATATTTGCCTTGAACATAGACAACACACACACTTACACATAATACTTGCACACTTAAATATGCCAGCATATTTCCTTTAGGAATTTCCTCTGCTGAGGCTGATGTGTAAATTTGTTTTCCCTGAAAGTCAATTGCCTGATGAACAGTCTCTTTTTTTTTTTTTTTTTTTTTTAAGAGATTTTCGCTATAGGGCGCATGCGCTCACCAGACAGAGAGAGACATAGAGACAGAAGCAAGAAATCACCCCCCCAGGGGGGATGGTCACGCCGCAATCCCTTCTCCTCCATTCTCCTCTCGGGATCTTGGGCACGCACACACATGTGCCCGGCGTGAATTCTAAGCTACCGGGTCCAGGACTTGAACTGCAGTCGACTACGTGGGAATCCAGCGACATAGCCATTACACTAACTGCTAGTTCCCATGAACAGTCTCTTGAAACCATCCTTAACTTGGTCTCCTTCTATCTTCCCATACAAAGTTCTGTCTCCTTTGTACATTGGATCATAGTTTGAGTTCTGAATGATTTATAGTCACTAATCACTTGAGATTCAATCGGAAGTACAAGTAATTTTGAGTCGGGAATACTCAAACTGTATCTACTTATATAACTGACTTTATTTTCACTTAGGAGAAAATAAAAGGATTGGGAGTAAGAGTTACATATTAATCATAGCTGCTGCCCAAGAACTCTTAGGACACTGCTAAAATTTTGTAAGGGATTAACTTTGATAGAAATGTTATGACTCTCAAAGCATCAGCCTCTTAATGCTAGGATTCATTTAAGGAAGTAAACCCTAGACTATATTAGGCAACTTGAAGTTAGTCAAAATGCCAAAATAGTTAAATTTCATTAATATTGTATAACTGCTGTATGTTTCCTATTTAGTAAGTGTGGTAAGGCATAAGGATGCTGAAACCTGCTCCCTCTCCAAGCTATTACAATCTTATTGGGAAAATAAAAGATTTTAAAAACAGTTCACAATACAAGATAATGGGGAAATAAATATCAGAAGATCAATGCAGGCTCAGCCAGCCTGGTAAGCTTGGTCTGGGGAGACTTAAAGAGAAAAGACGGTAGAATTTATGTTAGTGAATTGAGGACAGGGATTAAATCTTATGCTCTATGGTACCCCCACAGATAGTAGATTTCAATAAACATTTGTTGAACTAATGAATGAATGACTAGATAAATGAAGAATGGGTGAAAGGGCTGATGGGAGAGAGAATGATGATAGCTGAGCAAAACAGTGTGAACAAAAACTGGGAGGTAGAACAGGCATGGTATTTTGGAAGTTTGTGAGGAGACAGGTCTCACTGGCCTAGAGCATCTCGTTGACAAATGGTAGGAAATTATTTAGATAGATTTACTGGGACAAAGCAGTGGAAGCACAGGCTGAGTAGTTTGGGGTCATCCTGTGGGTAATGGAGAAGTATTGTAGGGTTTTGAGCAGATGAGTCACATGGTACAAGAGTGATTGTGGGGGGACCAGCAGGTGGTGTGGTGGTTGGGGTGCTGGACACTCCCACATGGCTGACTGCGGTTCGAGTCCTGGACCTGGTGGGTTGCTTTCTCACTTTCCCTCTCTCTCTCTCTCTGTATTTCTCTCTGGTCAAGTTAAAATAAATGAATGAATAAATAAAATTAAATGAATAATTTAAAAAAGGTGATTGTGGGAAGGTTTTTCTGGTGCTGGTAGGTTTTATAGATGAAATAGGAGTTACAAGGCTATTTCAGCTTTTCGAGGGTACCCTTATAAGGGCCTGACTTGGCAAAGGCAATGGAAATGAAAAGAAGGCATTTATATGATAGGACTACCCATGGCAAGATGAATAACAGTGTGGGGTACAAAGATGAGAGCTCAGTCAGAAATAACAACAAAGCTTTGGCCTGGAAGACAGGTATTAAGTAATGTCATTGACTAAAATAGGGGAATCAGGAATAGACTACAGTGTACAGAGGTACAATGAAATCGTGAAATTCACTTGGCAGTGCTGTGTGATCATTCCCCAAATGCTACATTTACAGAGTTAATAGTACTTAAAGGTCAACTATTGGGATCTCAGTGGACTAAGCCTAAAATCATTATTTTCAGATAAGATTGTGCAAACTTTCAATTATTCATTCAATAAATATTATGAAATGTCTTCAATATTTTATCAGCTAATGTGTTTGATGGTATACAGAATCTACAGTGCTATATGAGGGGTCTTCTAAAAGTTCATAGACCTCTTCTCATAAGTGGCCTGAAATGATCTTTGAAAATGGCTCACTTGCAAGAGAACCTGACAATATCATGCAAATCAAGAGATTCAAATCTTTGCGTTGACTTTAAGAACAGCCATCAGGGACCAGCAAATGGCATAATGGTTATGTTGCTGGACTTTCATACAGCTGACTGCAGTCAAGTTTTGGGCCCAGTGGCTTAAAACTCACACTGGGCATGTGTGCATGCTTGCCCAAAATCCTGAGTGGAGAGTGGAGGAGAAGGGTTTGCAGCATGGCCATTCCCCCTGGGGTGGGGGAGGGTGATGTCTCACTTTCTGTCTCTGTCTCTCTGGCAAGCATGCACACCCTATAGCAAAAATCTCTCTCTAAAAAACAAAAATAAACCAAAAAACAGCCATGAAACTGCCCAGGCCTTCAAAGGTATGCATATCTGAAAAGCCACCAAATATCAGAAAAATGTCACTTTGCAGAAGCTATATGTGCCATTCCATTGTTACAGTGGTGGGGTTGGTAAGTGTGTCCAAGCTAGACAGTGGGCTGGACACAGGGTCCAAAAGAAGTGCTGAATTTTTGCTGCACATGCTCAAAAGTGCAGAGAGTAATGCTGAACTTAAGGGTTTGGATGTAGAATCTCTGCATTTGAGCATATTCACGTGAACAAGGCACCCAAGATGCATCATCATACTTACAGAGCTCATGGTTGGATTAACCCACATGTGAACCCCTGCCTCATCCTGCTACGTGGGAGTCCAGCGACATAGCCATTACGCTAACTGCTGGTTCCCACCCTGATGATCCTTACTGAAGAGGAACACATTGTTCCTAAGCCAGAAAAGGAGGTTGTACAGAAGACAGAGATACCCCAGAAGAAAGTGAAGAAACAAAAGCTTATGATATGGGAATAAATTCAGCATAAAATAAATACAGATGAAAGTAAACAAAAAAAGTTCATGGAAAATGCATATTATGATAAAACCATGGCCAGTTATCAAGAAAAATTTGCAGCAAAATTAACTTGTACTTGGGGCCAGCAGGTAGTGTAATGGTTAAGGCACTGGACTCTCACATGGTCAACCATAGTTCAAGTCCCGGGATCTTGCAGCTTAAGACTCACACTGTGTGCATACACATGCAGGCCTAAAATCCCAGGAGGAGAATGGAGGAGAAAGGATAGCAGCATGGCTCTCCCCCCGGGGGGTGATTTCTTACTTTCCCTCTCACTATCTGTCTCTCTCTGGTGAGCACTTGCACCCTATGGCAAAAATCTTTTTAAAAATTAAAATAATGGGCCAGGAGGTGGTGTAGTAGTTGAAACGCTTGATTCCCACATAGCCAGCCATGGTTTAAGTCCTGGATCCGGTGGCTTCGAACACACCAGTCACACATGAGTATATGTCCCAAATCCCAAGAAGAGCATGGAGGAGGAGGGTCACACATGAGTATATGTTCCAAATCCCAAGAAGAGCATGGAGGAGGAGGGATTGCCGAGTGGCCATCTCCCCTGGGATGGGGTGATTTCTCTTTCCTTCTCACTGTCTCACTGGCAAGAACATGCACCCTATGACAAAACCCTTAAAAGTAAGTAAATAAAACAAACATGTTCTTTAATTCCATTTTCCATGAACTTTTTGAAGTCATCACATACAAAGCTAAGGTGTTATTATTATTAAGTATAACAGACACATCAGGTAAGTGTCATAACAGTTGACTAGCCTGGTAAAATACTTGCTTTAGAATTGG